TGTAAATCTTCACCCAAATCCTAATAAAAATAAAAAAAAAGAAAAAAAAATTTTATTCTCTTGGAATGCAATTACAAATGAAAGTTAGTTAGGAAAACTGACACACAGGTAAATTTTGTAATTTCCGGGAATAAATGGCTTATGTAAGGTGAGTTTAGCCTAAATTTAATTTAGGAAAAGAAAAGACTGTTCTTAAATAACAGAAGAAGGCCATGGTGTTTTGTTTTCCCAGCTTCTGCCAAGCAATCATCACAAAATCATGTAGTAAATTGTCAAAGAAAACTATCAGATCTGAGATAGGACTCAGTTCCTGAGATGGTTCCCTGACTTGCTTTCATCTTGTCCCATGAGAGGGAATGCTGTTAGGCTCTTGTAAGCCTATGAATCTTTGATTAATATACATATCTGTACATTCTTCTTCTTCTTTTTTTTTCATTCCAGACTGAGCTCTATTGATGTGAAGTATCAGATGTGGAAACTAGGAGTCGTTTTCACTGACAATGTAAGACTACCTCATTACCACAAAATAAAATGTGCTCTAAGGAGATGAGTCTGTTGGAGTTCTGCAAATACAAAGACAGTTGTTTAAGAAAGTTGCTCAAGTACCAGTTCATGTAATGGAGGTCATAGCCAAGAGACACCCAGAGAAAGATATGATTAATCAGACTTCTCTTATTCTGTTGTCTTCAATAGCTGAAAAATTAAAATGGGAATATATTTACAAAAGAAAAAGAAACTGAAATGAAAATTCTTGTGTATATTCATTCAGGTTCATTATCCACTGGAATACTTAAAAGTTTTGTAGATGTTTAAAATAAGGGTCTAAATGAATGAAAAAAAAATAAAAAGCAAAACAATAATTTTGATCAATTTAAATTTCTGCCCAAATTAAAGTACATTGAATTACTGTGTTCTTTTTCTTATTAGAGTCTTCTTTTATCAGATATCCTTTGAAAACTAAACATAGGGCCCAACTATTTATCTAAATATAATTTAAAAAAAGAAGAAAAAGATCACATATTGCTAAAAGCTACCATCTGCTAGGGCAGGTAATCACATTTTATTATTGTGGCCTGGCCAATGGCTAGACATTTTGTATTCTTAGGGTTTTCATTTTAAATAATTGTCACCATCAGTTGTTTCTGTGCTCCCATCAGCTGGCTATTGAAGGGTGCTAGAGACAAGCATAAAACACTGTTGAATAGGTCAACTACAAATGTATGCTGTCTGATTTCAGCCCATACTCTCTGACCATCCCCACATTGTGGGGAATATGAACATACCAACACACCCAGAAGCTTAGCCTTATCCCTGCTGTTCCTGCTGTTCTGCTTTCTCCCTGGGACACCTCATTTACTGTCAAGATTTCATATTATAATTTTTGCACTCAACTTTTCTATTGAACATTAGCTCCATTCTCCTATTTAAAGGCCTGTGACATCCAACAAATTCTCATTCCGCCACTTGTCACTCCTGCCTCTCAGTCTGGATATCTTTCACAAATCTCTTAACAGCTCAAAATCAAGCCTGATAAATGAATTTATATTAGAACCTTAAATTAGTACCATGGTATTTTGCAAGGAGCTCTGGTGGTATAATGGGTAAGGCATTTGGCTGCTAACCAGAAGGCCAGTGGTTCAAATCCACCAGCTTCTCCATGGGAAGACAATGAGGCAATCTGTTTCTGTGAAGATTTACAGCCTTGGAAACCCAATGGGGGGTCATTATGAGTCAGAATTGACTCACTGGCAATGGGTTTATATTTTTGGTATGGTATCTTGCAATTAGTTTCTAATTTAACGGAAGCAACTCCTCTTAATAAAAAGAAGCTACCTAACTCCAGCATTGGTATATTACATTCTAGTAGCCACTCAACCCCCAAAGCCAGTCTCCTGTCTATGATGTAGTATCTTGTCTTTCTGTTGGTATTTTTGTTCTTATTACTAAAGTTCAAAGTACTGGCTTGCCCTCCTTTTCTCTCTCCTCCTTTGATCATTTGCCTAATCTTGATCGTCTTTCTGTCCTTTGTAATTCTCCTTTCTACCTTCCCAGTTTCACTACTAGTAATGGCTTTCATACCCACACCCTTGGACTTGTCCAGTAGTCTCCTAATGTAATAGCTACACCACTTACAAAATGTGGGACTTTTAGACAGTTGTTTAACTTTGGTGAGCTCACTTTTCTCATTTGTAGGTTGGGGTTGCACATACCTACGTAACAGAGATGTTACTAGGATAAAATGAGAGATTGTATGTGCAAACATGGATCGATGACCAACACCTAGTAGAAGCTCAAGGAAGTTTTCTAAAATACTACTTTTCACATACCATTTCTTTGCTCAAAATGCTCCACTGGGCCCCAAGTATCTATGGAATGCATTCCATGTCCTTTAACCTGGTTTCAAGGCCCTCACAATCTACCCCACTGTGCTCTCTGTCTTTTTTTCCCAAAACATAAGCTTATTACCTCTCCTCCCTCAGCACATTCTACACAGGTTGTCTCCATGTCTTTTTAAAATGTATTTTCTTTTCTTGAGCTTTGTATCTTAGCTTCAGGCCCATGTTGTTGTTGTTGTTGTTATTTGCCATCGAGTCGGCCCCGACTCAAAGCGACCCCTCCTTGGGTTTCCGAGGCAGTATCACTACAGAAGTAGGCATGCCCAACCTTCCTTCTGAGGAGTGGCTGGTGGGTTTGAACCGCCAGCCTTCCAGTTAGCAGTCAAGTGCCTTAGACACCATGCTACCAGAGCTCCTTCAGGCCCATAGTGCCCACAAAATCTTTTATACCTCCTAAATTTTCTCTGTCTTCTTTCTGTTCTCCATTAGAGATATATTATAGTCAAAATAAAGGTTTCCATTCCTTTCCAAAAGTACTATCTCCTTATTCCACTGGCAAAACATGCCTTAAGCAGAAGAGACTCTATTCCAAAAAGTAGGAGCAATCATAATAATTTTTATTCTACTTCATTCTTTGCACCTCTAAAGTATATACATTTTCTAGCCTATGTAAAGTTAATATTTTACATTAATTATAATCCAGGAGATTTCTACAAATAATGCCAATTGTATTTAATTTACTTTCACCTTCAGTGACATTAAGTAGTATTTGAATTTTCTGCTAGATTAATTTTGGCTCATCCAAAGTTAGATACTTGGCTAGTAAACCACCTCATATAATTTCTTATAACTAATAGATCTCAGCAAACACGGATTTAGTAAATAAGTAAATAAATGAAGGAAAAAGAGAAGGAGGAAGGAAGGAAGGAAATTTGGTTCTTTAATTTTCTGTATAGCAGTGGCTCTCCACCAGGGACAGTTTTGCCCCAGGGACAATGTCGGGAGACATTTTACATTGCCATAGCTGGAGGAGGAGCTCTGGTAGCATAGTGCCTAAGGCACGTGACTGCTAACCAGAAAGCTGGCAGTTCAAACCCACCAGCCACTCCTCAGAAGGAAGGTTGGGCAATCCTACTTCCGTAGTGATACTGCCTCGGAAAGCCAAGGAGGGGTCACTATGAGTCGGGGCCGACTCGACGGCACATAACAACAACAACAACAACAACAACAATAGCTGGAGGGGGCTTTGCTACCGCTATCTAGTGGTTAGAGGCCAGGGATGTTGCTAAACATCCTGCAGTGCACAGCATTCAAACAGAGAATTATCTAGTCCAGAATGTCAGTTGTGTCAAGCTCCAGAAATTTCACCTTGTGGAGGATAAGTGCAGTCACTCTGCTTTAACGGAGAAAATATTTAACCTTTTAGAACAAACTACCACATTTAGAACAAAACAATACTGTAATTAGAAGTATATAAATATGTTCTAAGAAGATGAAGTAAATTGAGTGACTTATATAATTAAATCAGAGAAGCTTTGGACAATAGTCATGCATTTTATTTTCTGATATTCTTCTCTCCCGGCCTGTTTTGTCTTAATAGTCCTTCCTCTACCTTGCCTGGTATATGACTATGTCCGTTCTTGGACACTATAACAACTTTTTTTTTGCTGCTCATCTTCTTGACATCGCTATGGGATTCAAGACTTTAAGAACCATCTTGTCATCAGTAACTCACAATGGCAAACAGGTAAAAGTTTAATAACACCCCCCACATACACAGAAACTAAAGAAACCACAAATAAACAAATGAAACATAAAACTAAACCTCAGCAACAATGTACATTTTAAAAGATCTTTTATCAAATAGCAAGGCTATACTTTTAAACCAAATCTTAGCTCAAACAGGAGTTACTGTCGCTTTGCATAAATTATTTAGTATCTCTAAATCTCAGCTTCCTCACTGTGTAAAATAGAAATCATCAAAACATGTATCTTATAGAATTAAACATAAAAGCATATATGGAGAGGCCTTAGCACAATTCCTGGCACTTACTAAGTACTCAGAAATTAGTTACTATTTTGTTCCTAATATCAGTGTTCTCACCATTTGATACTATTGGGAACCAAACTATGTTGCAGCTTTCTGATGCTTTAGTTGTCTTGGTAAAAAAAAAAAGAAAAAAGATGCTGCATTACTAATTTAATATTTGAAAACTGGATATTCATTTGTTCTTTCTCCACTTTAAGTTGAACAAAAATATTAATATTTCATCTTGATCAAGTTATACTTATTTGCAGGAAAACTGGTTTAGGTCTAGATAATCAATTTATGTTAAAATGGAATCTGGTTACAATGTTAAAATTTTCCACAACCATAAAACATATTCCAGAAGCATGCATTTAATTCCTTCTATATTTATCAAGTGTCCAGTGGGTAACACATATTATGTTAGCACCAGATTCCTTTTTCCCCAAAGGTTTATAGTCTTGCACATTTCTTTAATCTGTGTCTCTCCAAAACCTTTGAACTATGTCCATAGTTAAATTCACATTCTCATGTCACTATAGTTTCTGAGGGAGCTCTGGTGGTGTAGTGCCTAAGGCATTTGACTGCTAACCAGAAGGCTGGCGGTTCAAACCCACCAGCCACTCCTCAGAGGGAAGGTTGGGCAATCTACTTCTGTAGTGATACCACCTCGGAAACCCAAGGATGGGTCGCTCTGAGTCGGGTTTGACTCGACAGTACATAATAACAACAACATAGTTTATGAATACAGCTACAACATACATGGTCCAGTGCAAAAAATATATATATATATTCATTCAACAGTCAGTTGGTAAATAGTCTGTGAAGTTCAGTACATATAATGAGCTGAAACTATTGTGCCTATTGTGTATTTTCACACAAAAGTTCTGGCACTATTTTCAATTTCTGAACTTTTGTGGTATTTATTTTCTTTTTGAGGTATCAATTTTTCATTTATAGAAATATATAGAATTGAATAGTTCTAATAGGAAAACCATATAGAAACATAGAGTGATATTGTACTTCATTTTTAGAAATAATTTTAAGTCCTCTCTTAAGATGTTTTTTCCAGATAATTATAAACTGATTTTTAAAAGATCTAACTCAGTATATGGAGTTCCAGTCAAAAGCATAGGGATGAATTGTAATAAGAGAAGTAGACTGGAAAAATAATGCATTTACATTGAAACTTGCTGTGATATAACCAGAAATATATTTTCACAAACTTGATAAAAGTCATATGTTTAAAACACACATCACACAAAATATATCTATATACATATACAGAAGCAAAGTACAATTTGGAATTAATGAAAGATTGCATAGAACTGAGATGTTGAATTATACATCACAACTGTGATGTTGAATTATACATTAAGAAAACTAGCCTTCAAAATATTGGCCAGTAAGCTAGAATATGCTTTACTTTGATCATCTCTTTATGTTAACAAAGCAAGACTTTTCAGTTTTATTTTCTTTCAGTATTTATATTACACATTATTAACAGTTGTGTGTTTCCCATAAAAACTCCCCTTTGGTCTGTTAAAAAGAAAACAAAATGTTTTCCAGTCACACTTACTCTTATAACAAAAACAAGATCGTTTTTATTAGGAATGTAAATTATTTAAAGAGATTAAACCTTATAAAAATGGAGAAAGTATGTAATGTAGTATCTACTACCAAATATTTAGATGATAAAGAAGAACGTTGTGAGCTGCTTATTAATATTATTAATATCAATTTGCATATGAAACTAATAGTATACTTATGTTCTGTCTATAGTGTGCACATATTAGCCAATTAAGTAGTCAAGTTTTGCATAAAGTAATATGAAAACTTGAAAAAATGAAGAGAATGTGAAAATAAAATTCCCCACTGGAATATAGAAAAGGCTGGTAAATCCAGCAGTGTACTAACTGGAGTGGTCCCCTCCCACACAGATGTCAAACATGCCCATCAAATGTCTTAGAACACTAACACATGTTCAATATCACATTTCTTTACAGCTTGTCTTAACTGTTGGCCTATTAGCTGTTGTCGTATACCTATATACTGTTGTGGCATTCAATTTTTTCCGAAAATTCTACAATAAGAGTGAAGATGGTGATACACCTGATATGAAGTGTGATGATATGTTAACAGTAAGTTCATATATTTTGATCTCATCTGAATGAAAAATACCCTTGTGCCTCTTTTATCTAAATTGTGTGCTTATTCATTAATAGCACAGAATAGATTCATATTGTTGTGAATCTTTAAGGATTTTTTAAAAATTTTTCCCTAAAATTTCCCTTTTTAGAGGAGCATAAAAGATCCATGTCTGTCCATTTCTCACATCTGCTGGAACCTGATAATTAGTAGAATTCCTGAGTAAAGTGGTTAGCACTAGAAGGGTCAATGTCACCACTTTAGCCTGCTGTTCAAATATTACAGGTAGCAGGTGAAACCATTTCCTTGGAGAACTTGTGGGAGCTTTGGTTATTTGTCTGCTTAAATTACTTTAGCTGAAGTTACTAGATTTCACAATATATCTCTTAACAGAACTGCTAGATTTTGCTTTTATACTGAGTATCTTGTGTTAAATTTCCTTTTTAGTATGTTTTTTAGATCAACAGATGTTAAAGCTTTCATCTGTTCAACAACCTGCCCTTCTGATCTTGGCAGATAATGAATCAGCATCCATTACATCTTAGATTGGATGAAATACAACGTACTAACTGGAAAGGATGGATCCTTCAGTGAGATCCCAATAGAAATGATTGGGGTGGGGGTGTGTGGTAGTGATGTAAACAAAAGGGTTGAAATAATGTTACCAAAATTACACTGGAAAGTCCCTCTGCGGGTACTGGTAAGGAGTTGCACTGGCCATGGTGGCTGGAGAGGGAGAGGTTGCTGCCTTTCAGCCGCCTGGCCCGGCTCTCCTTTCTCTTGGGTCCTTCTCGGGGAAGTGGGCCAAGCTGGAGATTGGCTTGGCAGCGAAACAGCCTGGATTCAACCGGTAGGGCGCGCTGGGCGTTGCCCGCTGGTCTAGGCGCGTGAACCCCAAGTTGCTGGCTAATCACTCCTGCACCCGGGCTCCTGAGTTCGGGATCTGCCCCTTCTCCTCCTGCCAGACCCGGCGCGTGCAGCGGCCATGCGAATGTCTGTGCCTGCCCATGCCTTCCCTTCCACTCCGCCGAGGGCTGGCTCCAGGGACGATCATCTTAAAAGAGTTTTCTCATTTCAATTTATTGAAAATTGAAAAAAAGAAAAACACTTAAGGAGCACACCGTTTTTGTGATTGAAATCTCCTGTGTCTTGCGTTTGTGGTTTTGCTGTATCTGCTCTTAGAATAAATTCCTGGCTCCCGTGCAAAAAAAAAAAAAAAAAAAAAAAAAAACTTACTGCCATCAAGTCCTTTGGACTCACAGCGACCTCTCCTTGGGTTTCCCAGGCGGTATTTCTACAGAAGTAGATTGCCTAATCTTCCTTCTGAGGAGTGGCTGGTGAGTTTGAACCGCCAGTCTTCTGGTTAGCAGTCAAATGCCTTAGACACTAAGGCACCAGAGCTCCTAGTAGCACAACTGGTGGTTGGGGGAGGGCAGGGGATTTCACTGGGAAAAAAAAAAAAAAAAATTGTTTTAAGTAATGAGAGTAATTCTACCAATTCTACCTCTCAGTACCAAAAGACTAATTCTACTAAAAAGAGTAATTCTACCAATATTATAAAGACTGTTGTTGTTCTTGTTGTCATTATGTGCCCTCGAGTCAGATCCGACTCATAGTGACCCCTCCTTGGGTTTCTGAGCCATTATCTGTATGGAAGTAGATTGCCCAATCTTCCTTCCCAGGAGTGGCTGGTGGGTTTGAACCACTAGCATCCTGGTTAGCAGCCAAGTGCCTTAGGCACTACTCTATCAGAGCTCCTATTATAAGACTAAATACTTAAAAATGGCAAATAATTGGAACACAATAGAGCATCTAGGAATAGATACAAATACATATAGAAATTTAAAACATGATGGTGGCTTTTGAAATCATGCAGTCAAAAATAATTCTACAAATGGTATTGGTACTGCAAACAAGCTGTTTGTGGGAAAACAATAAAAATGGATATCAGTCCTGTTCTTAGTCAAAATCACAAATAGAATAAAGATTTCAATGCAAAAAAATAATAAAATAAGGATAGAATATTATTTAAAAAAAAATAATTTTTAAATGGTGAAAGGTCTTTCTGAGTACAACATAAAACCTAGGATTCATGAAAGCATAAAATTATTTTTATAAAGAACAGTAATGAACAGTTTGAAAGGCAAATGACACACTGGGAAAAATCTATTCACTGCTATAACAAAGGACTGGTTTGCTTAATTCACAAAGCTCTTGTCATTTCAGTAAGAAAAAATAAATAAGCCAGCAGAGAAAATGGTCAAATTATATGAGCAGACAATTCACAATAAAATAAATTCAGTTGGCTCATAAATATGAAAAGATACTCAGCACCTATGATAATTAAAGAAATGAAAAACAATGAATTGCTATTTTTCCCTATAAGGTTTGCAAAATACTGAGGTTAATGTGTTGGTAGACACTCTCATCAATTCTGTTGAGAATTTGAATTGGTACAACAATTTTAGAAAAATTTTCCATATAGGAACCCCTACTTTCCAAAAGTTTGTTTTATGCCACTTTACTTTTTCTAAAAACCTAACTAAGTACCTGTTTTAACCTAACTTAGTACCTGTTTTTTGCTCACCAAATGAAATCTGAAGAGAATTTCCATTTTTATGAAAAAAGGGGAAAATAAAACTAGTGTTCAATGTTCATTTAGCTGTTGGGTTAAAGAGGCAGTAGGCACCCAGAATAGCAATAGGGATGCCACCAAGCTCCTTTCTCCTGGACTACAGTGTACATATATTATTTCTACTTTATATAACCTGTGTATTTATCATATCATTCCTGTCTTTACTATATGTGAGTGCTACTTTAGTCTGTATGTGTTATTTGGTGTAATTTGGTAGGTTATTTTTTAGATCTGGGAACATTCAAAAAATTTTTCCATATAAATTAATGGTAATTGCTTCTTTGCTTTATGCCATTTCAGCTTACAAAAGGTTTCATAGGAATGCTATACTTTCAGATAATGGAGGAAAATTGTATATGTCAAAATTTCAAACATGTACCTTTCACCTATCAATTCCACTGCTATCAATTATGTTAAATCCACATCATTAAAATTATGCAGATCTTTTAAAATTAGATAATCTTCATATGCTGACACGAAAAGTCATACAAGTTTTAAGTTAAAGAAAAAAAAATCCTGAAAAGTATTATGATCTAACCTTTTTTGTGTAAGATCATATAGACACACATATTAGAATGCATATTTAAGTATGTTAAAATATGTAAAAAGTTTTTCTGAAAAGATACATAAGAAATTGTTAAAAATTCTTATACAGAGAAGGACCAAAGATCAAGGGAGAGAAAAAGACATGCTTTTTTATATATATATATACTTCTTTGCTATCTAAATTGTTAATATGTTTTACCATACCTATGTTCCCATGTTATTTCTTTCATTTGTAGAAACCTAAAACAGTATTTTTTTTCCCACTGTGTTTCAAAAGAGAACCTAATTCAGTTCTTCTCAAAATTCTAATAACCGCATGGTGAACTATGTCATTGGCAGGAAGAAGGATAGAGCATACAGGTAGCTGGCCTAGGCAGTTCGCAGGACTGTGGGCCTATAAAAGCTGTACTCCAAACTGGTGCTGCATTTTCTACCATCTGCTCCCTCCTCCCTGAGCCATTTACAGCCTAACCTTTCTTATTTATGAAAAATATTTTACCACCATTTAACAAATAATTTCAATTAATTTATGTTATTTCTTCTAATCACCAATTTAGAGATCTTCCACCAAGATTGCCAGTCCTTAGGGTTTCATGATTGAGCAACTTTTTTTTCTCTTTGTTGCTTTATTCAAAGGGGAAAACAAAAATCTGGGGGGGGGGGGACAGAAAAACTCTCAAATGAATTTAGGAGGCATATAGCTTTTCCTAGGTCAAGATAGGAGTTTTGAAGGCCTGGAATAAAAGGGAGAATGCAGAAAAAAAGGCTTCTAAACCATAAGCCTACATATGATTCACAGTATAGTAAATCATGTTGTTCTCATGAAAATAATTCATAACTTTCTGTGATTTCATATCATTATTGCCATTTTACAGATGTTTTACGTGTGAGTTTGTAACTTCTATGTCTTGTCATCTACTTAGAGAACACAAAATGTGAAAGTTGAAAGGACTGTGATGATCATGGTCATTCATCCATGTAGAGTAAAACCTGCAAAATCCGGAATCTGTATAAGGCAGAAACCTGTCAGAGAAGGAAAACTCAAATATTTTCCACTTGTAGAGAGTGATAGAAAAATAGTAAGACTGCACCCCATCAAAAGAGGAAAACTTGCGAGTCCTAGAAAACAAGGCAGTCCCATCAAGTTCTGGCTCTCACAGGTTTCACTGTACTTAATTTCCAAACCAGAAGAAAATATCATCCTACTTACAGGTTTATTGTTGTTGTTGTTGTTGTTATTGTTGTGTGCTGTTGAGTCAGACCCGACTCATAGTGACACCCATGGGTTACTAAGGAAGTAGATTGCCCAACCTTCCTTCCAAGGAGTGGCTGGTAGGTTTGAACCGCCAGCCTTCTGGTTGGTTAGCAGTCAAGTGCCTAGTCTTGTAATTTAGAATATTCATTTATTTGTCCATTTCTATGTAGCACATACTACAAATGATTTTGTGCCAGGTATTCTACTAAGAACTTTACAGATGTTAACTCATTTAATCTCCTAACAACTCCATGCTGTTGGTGGGTATTGTTGTTATCCCGATTTTATAGATGATGAAACAGATACCAAGAGTTTGAGTAACTTGCTAAGGTCACACAGCTCAGAAGAGCTCAGACTCTTTAACCATTGCTGTATGCTACCTCAAAAATATTAAGTTCATAAGTTTGTGTTATTAATTCAGTTTACTAAATATGTATTTAGCAGGTATTTTTGTGCCAAGTACTTGTTGGGGTAAGGCATATTCAAGCACAGTCCTGACACTCAAGAAATTGCTTATTAAACACTTTTCTAGTAAATCTGCTAAGCTCAGATTTTTT